GTTCCTCAAATACCACTTTGAATTCAATGTGCATTTACCTGTTTTGAAGCAGGCTGCTAATGGCTCTAAATTCAAGGTCAGAAGCATTTTTAATAGAAACTCTCTGATCCTGTGTGCCATTTTTGCGCCTATGAAATATTGTGGCCTCTAAACACAGTGGATAATAAAAGTATAATTTCCTGTCAACCACAATGACCTACTGGATAGAATCCTGAAATATCCGTAAGAGCTGGTTTTTATTTTAAACTTTACGATCGTCTAGTGTCTTATCATTTGGAACCGCAACCTGCAAGCTGTTACAAATCGATGTTATAATGTGTTTTTACATAATGACTTATCATATCTAGGAACTGACCAATATCTCCTTTAAAAAAAATCTCAGGGTCAACAGAGCTAGACATAGGCTGTAATTAGAACCAGCTCTAAAATTTGAATATGAATGGAAAGTCAGATTACAAGTATATAAGGAAGTATATAGTTTTCTGAGGAAAATTCTAAAGACATTCTTATATATAAGAATTCCAGAGAGTCTGCAAACTTTTCTTACTTTTGTTGGTGTAAGTCAATGCAGTAGCATTATAATAAAGTGAATTGATTATTCAGACATAAATATTATGGCTGGGAAAATATAAAAATAAATTGATTTTTTTAACCTAAACTTTACAGCCTTGCTTAATTTGTGTTTGTGTATGCAGCTATTATTTCCAAAGTGTGTCAGTTTTGATAAGTGACATCACATGAGTTTCATCTAAAATTGTTCATTTTTTGATCTTTTATGGGAGAACAGTAGTTCTGTACATGTTATAGATACAAACATGTAAACAGTAGAGTTCTAAATGTCACAGTGTAATATCATTTCGAGTGGGAGAGAACTTTGAACACTGTGTCAAAATCATCTGATTACATGAATGTGTGTGTGTTTGTGAGCTTATCAGTGGTAATTTTTCCAGAGTTACACATAAATAGGAAGGTAGAGAATGGGAAATTGTATATATTCCATCATATGAAAATACTATATGCATTCATCATAGTTGGCAGTTTAGACAAGATTAGAATCTCTGGTACACAAAGATTTCCAAGTAATTTATGTGAATATTTACATGCATAGATGACCTAATTAGAAGAGGACTAGAACTGAGTTTTTAGGAAATGTAATGGAGCTCACAGTTAAATTTTCAGTAACAGCCAGAGCTGGTGAGTGGTATTACGGAACGGTGAAATTGGCATCTGTACTATGGAAATTAGAATAAAGCAACTCAAGGATTTTTGTTTATATTTCAGAGAGCCACCTGTTAAAGTTTAAGAGGCTGTCTGTAATTAATGCTAATCTTTCTTTTTAATAATAGATGCCCTCAGGGACTGAATAGTATCTAGTTTAGTGAAAACTAAGAAATATTTAAAATGACATGGTTCAGTTTTCTTATCCCTACAATGAAATAACAACAAAATAGCAACGTTTTGATCTCAGTGTTCTTTTAAAGAGTAGATGTGCATACAAACTTGCTTTATGATTGAATAAAGCCCAACAGTCTTTCACAGTGTTCACTACTTATGTTGCAATTTTACAATTATGTTGCATTTAGCAAATAATATAGGTTTTTCATTTTTAAATGAACATATAAAAACTGTCTGTTTTATTAAATATAAAGGTAATACAGATAATTCAAAAATTTCTCAAAATTTAATAAGCTAGCAAATGAATGTTTCCGTCCCTGCAAATTCCACATAGAAGGTGTGATGTGAAAGACATGTGTGCATGAAATAAGCTTTCTTTTGAAAAGAGGCAAATTTTTCTCATCTCTTGTCACTCACTAAGGAGACATTTACCAAACCACACCTCATCCTTTTCTATGAAAGTTGCATACTCTTTCTTCGGGATGGCTTAAAATTTTATTCTTCCAAACCTTTGGAAAAAAAACAAATCTGACATTCTCACAAAGAACTGGCCCAGAAGAGAATAAACCATCTGACATAAACTCTTGAGACACTGTGACCAGTATGAATGTGTGGTGGGGAAAAAGACAGCAGCTGTGCACTGGATTTGGTTTAAAGTGATAATTCCGTAATGATTTTAAATACCAACTTATCCAGGGACCGTGGATTAGGATGGGGGGGGAGTGTTTTTTCTGTCCATCGGTGCCCTGAAATGTCCTTCACATCTACTTCTTCCAGAAGATTCCTTCTCCATGAGAATCATTAGATGACACCTCCTCAAGGAAGCCTTCTTTAATTCTTCCAGGCTGATGAGTGTGTTATTGCTTCATGTTCCTCTAGTCCTTCTAAAATGATATTTCTCTTAATATAGTAATTATATATTCCATTTTCTTTTCTACCTAGATTCTTTGCTTCCCAAATGTAGGTAATCGGAACTGTTTGCCTTGCTACCCTCAGTGTACAACACATAGTATAAGTACATGACATATTTATGTAATGGGAAGAGAGTTCATGTTAAAAAACAGAATTTTGGTTATGTTACATAGATTCAAAAATGATTCTGCCCTTTCTGGGACAATTCTTTAGTCATTTAAGTTTGGGGTTTAACTGGAATTAAGCTTTCTTATTCTGGAACTATGAGTAACTTAACTGTCAGAGTGTGTAGCATATTAGGCAGTTTAAAAGAGCTATACATGTGAGCCTATATAAACTACTTTATCAATACAGGCTCTTTTTGTTCTCAAAATAAACAGTTGGTCCTTATTGTAACCATTTTTGTTCATATTTTTTGGTTGTTGGCATCAATGAACTTCTAAGTGTACAGTTGGTAAATCCAGCCCCCACACAGCCTGACACTAGAGGTCACTCACATCTATTTGTTGCATCTATGGCATTCAGCACATTGGAGAGTAGCACCCATGGCTGCTGAGCATTCAAGTGTGGCCTGCCATGGAGCAGAGTACAGTTGGAGAAAATAATCTCTTTTTGTCTTGAGAAGTGTTTGAGTGGAGACTCCCTGACTAGAGGAAGTCCACCAGTGCAACAGCCTAGCCCTGCCTCATCAGCATGGCCTCCCTCCTCCCACCACCTGCCACCTTTGTGCCCAACACCATGCTTGCTTTTATTGTAGGGATCACACAACATCACTCTTTATGTCTATTACCAATGCCTCTCCAGGGCGAGGACCCTGTCACCACTGCCCTCGTAGTCTGGCCCAGGCTAACTACATGAATTATAATTTAATGATTTTCAATATGTTGGTTGCTCTTGATGCATTCTGGTTCCCCACCATAACCATGGTTTACCGTAAGGGAGGAATTACTATGATTACTATTCTTTTGCTAACAAGAAAACTGTGGCTCAAATTGAGTGTCTTGTCTTTCAATACTGAGAAAGTAGGACAAGCTGGGATTCAAGGGTAGGTCTATCTGTCGCTATAACAGACACTCTTCAGCATACTCTGATCTTCCCCCTTATCCACTGTCTGGGAGAGATCATGGCTGAAAATGCCTTTGGAGTAAGTAAGTAGATTGAAAAATCAATAAAATTCAAATATTTGGAATTTCTTTATTGAGACATTTGAATTCTGTTATTTCAGTTCAGAAGTTTGTGAAACTCTTCTCTCACATTGGGATGAGTATAGATTTGTTTTTCAATTTTTTTTTCCTGAAAGTGGTTCTTAAAGAAAATATGTCTGAAGAAAAGACTTGATTTCCCAAGTGTGCTGCAGTTTTAGGCAAAGAAGACAGTATGTTTCTCTGGAATGTTTTCTGTGAGTTTCTGTACCATCACAAAGTGTTCTTTGCTTTTTTCCAAACCAACTTTTGATTGCAGTGTTGTCCCATGCATTCACCAGTGTGGGATGCGATTTAGATGCAAAATTGAGCTGAGCCCAAGCAATGAGTGACAAGCAGGGCAATGCTACTGGGCATCTTGTTGGGTCAGGTACTCCCTGTGTTTGCAGAGAATCTTTATCTGGCCCTTTTAGCTGATTTCATTGAGGCCACTCACCAGAGGAATGAACATTAATAACCTGCTTAGCTTCTCATTCTGAGCCACAACAGAAGCAGGCATCCAAGGTGAAATCTTCTCTACTCTATTATTAATTCCCTAAGTCAAACTGTTCCCTAGGATGTCCTGAAAAATTATTTCCCATTTAATCTAATTCAGCAAATCTTTGCTCTGGGATCTGTAGTGAACATTATTTCTTTATAAGTAAGTTTTTTGAGAGGGAAGAAACATATTTTGCCACCTTTAAAGTAAGCAAAATGTACACCTTAGGTAATAAGGAAAAAAAAATATATATATATTTCTTATGTTCTGAATTTCATCAATTGAGAATTCTATTTTTATCATATTTAATTCCTAAAGAAGGTTTTCATAAACTTAAATCTCCTGTTCAAATGTACATTTCTAATGGGAGCCATGGCACTGTCCTGATTAGACTATAGATGCCAGATATTACAGTTTCTCTGAGACCATTCTAATTTTATTTCCTCACTATTAGCATCCTAGTAGAGAACTGTATTCTGCAACCTCAACAGACTCTTCTGATAATTACTGGCTGTCAAAAATCCTAACAATTGGGAAAATCTCCTTTCTATTTATATTTTTTAATAGAGATCATCATAACCTGGCTTTATACAGGTTAATTACAAAGATGGAAATAGAAAAATATGGTCTATTTTCCATCTACTCAAATTTGCATTTTAAACAAAGACACATGTGAGAAAGAAGACAAAGAGATGGGCAGAAACAGAGAAGGGAGAATAGAAATCAGGAAGTTAGAAAGGAAGAGAAAGGGGGTGAAACAAGAGAAACCAGAAAGAAAAAGAGAATTTCTTTTACTCAAGTTTTTGAAAAATGACAGTAATGTCATGAATCCTAAAATCTCAATGATACTTAAAAATAAAAAAGACTTTCTGGCTTAGTCTCATTCTTTAGATCCACTTTCTTAGCTCAAGGGAAGGGAAGCCCCTACTCTTCAAATGGGCACTTTTGAAAAGCAGTGTTTTCGTTTTAAAATCTGTTTAAGCAGACCTTATATTTCTTCCTCATTTTTGCAGGTAATTTCAATGAAAACGAAAGCCAATGGATTGTGGTCTTAGAAAACTGCTTACATGATGTCTGTTTCCTGTGCTCTAAACACGTGGCACAGCTGTAAGTAAATGCCACACACTGCATGATGAATTGGATGGCTGCAGACCTGAGGCAAAAAAGATAATTATCTCATTTTCGTAGCCATTTGCTTAACTGGTGGGACCATGCCAGAACGGCTAGCAGAAATGCTCTTGGATCTCTGGACTCCATTAATAACGTTATGGATTACTCTTCCCCCTTGCATTTACATGGCTCCAATGAATCAGTCTCAACTTTTAACAAGTGGATCCCCTTTGGAACTAAACAGGCTGAGTGAAGAACAGCGGGTTTTGAACCGTTCCAAAAGAGGCTGGGTTTGGAATCAAATGTTCGTCCTGGAAGAGTTTTCTGGACCTGAACCAATTCTTGCTGGCCGGGTAAGCTTCGTTTTTTAAGATCCCAATTTCAGGGTTTGTTTATGGTCTTTTTATGTTTAACGTCGGACTCTCCACAGTTGTTACCACACTTAGCTGTAATTCCTTTAGGCCAGATGGTTAGTTAGTTAACCTGTTGGTTTCTTTAGGAATACGGATAATGCCATGGTAATGATTTAAAATAATCCTCTAAGGAAAGCTCTTCCCATCCCCAATTCCATCTCTTTCACCCCCTAGAGAGACAATACTACGACATTTGTGTAATGCATACACCAATAATCTTTGTTTCACATTCACTTGTGAGTACTCTATGCCAAACTTTTTTTTTTTTTTTAATACTAGTTTAAAGTACTTGGACAGAAACTTAGAAGAGGTGTATATTTTCACTGAGTTTGAATTCCTGCCATCTGAATTGTTATGCTATTATTTCGTTATATTTTACTACCATGTACCTTCAATTTCAGGTATATTTTTCTCCTTTCTGTTTCATTGTTTGTTGTCTCACTTCATAGGAGTGAGAGGGAAATATTCGATGTGGATGCTTGACAGTGTCTTGTGTTGCATTTTGATTAACTATAGTAGGAAATGAATTCATTTCCTAGTAGAAGCAAATGTATATAATTAAAGCTTTAGTGTGTGTGTGTGTGTGTGTGTGTGTGTGTGTGTGTGTGTGTCTGTGTACATTACACTGGATGGCAAGTTCTTTTTGTCAACACAGGATGCCTGCTTTGCAAAATCACACTGCATGTTATTGAAGATTTTATGTACTTTTTTTCCCCCACTCAGAACTGTTCAAAACTTCTTTGACTCGCACTATCATCATAGGTAAAATTTCAATTATGAGATTGCCAAAGGCCAATTTTCCTGAAAAGTTAGATTTCAGAAGTGAATCATGACATTTCTGGAATGTGATGATTTAAAAGAAAAATAAAAGAAGAATTGAATATTTATCTTCAAGATTTGAGTGAACTCTTTGTTTTCCACTAGGAAGTTCTGATAACATTACTTTGTCTACTCTATTATCTTGCAAAACAAATTAAGCAAGGATCATTCCTCATTTTATGTGGTTCTCCTTGAATGAAGGAAGCTTTGACAAGGAGATATCTTGAGTCCCTGCACTCATCTTTTTTGAGCCCCTCCTCTGTACGAGGCTCTCCATTAGGCACCTGGGGATACAGCCAACAATCAAGCAACCACTTTTGCCTTCAAGGAACTCATACTCTGACTGATATTGAGTGTTCTTTATCTGTTTAGCAGTGTTATAAATGTACCTCATTGGCACAAACCAATCTGACCCAAATAATAATCACATATGCATATTTATTTGTGTATGATCATATGTATACATTCACATACAAAATAAATCTGGAAAATAATGAATTTATACTCCTTTTATCCTAAGTTCGAAACACAAAAGCTTACAAAATCATTTAGCATGCTAGATACAAATTCAGGTAGCTGAACTGACTTGAAACTATTTATAGTTATGTATCACATTACTGTGACTGCTAATATATTTCATCGCAGAAATGTTAATGTAGTTGGTTATAAGATGCTGCCCCAGACCCTGCTGAGGGTGGTACTTATTACATAGTTTATGAAACTTGATATGTTTCTATGAAAGTTTCTCAATTCCAAAATACATCTAGCCCCAGGAGTTTTGGATATGGGGCTCAACTTTCTTTCCCTCTTTCTTTTCTTCCTTCACTTTCTTTCTTTCTTCTGTAGATGCAGAAACTGAGATTAAGATGAATTAATAAACCAAACCAATATCACAAAATTAGTAAATGATATACTTGTGTTTAATTTCTGTTGGAAATTCCCAAGGCCATAATTTCATCCACTGTAACCTGTTATGTACTACTAACTAGGCATGTGGAGTTAAAACTATAATTTGCAGTTGAGTTATTGAGTGTAGAATTCAAAGTTCTTACATTTCTACTTCTAGATATTCAAAACGTCTTTAATCAACTCTCAAGCAAGTCATTTTCATATATAAATTTTAGAAATATATGTATATACATTTAATGGATGGATACTTCCTCCCTGTTTCTTAGTCACCTCATAATGCAGGTATGTCACGCTGATCATGTACTGCATAATGCAAGTAACTGAATATGCTGAACCCAGAGTGCATTCCCTTTTTATCTGAAAAGAGAATGTAATTAATGCAGGATTTGTTTTTGGCAAAGAATCCGATGGTTGATTTCACTTCCATTCCTTAACGGAAGTAATAGCGACAGAGGCATACAGCATCCTAATGTGACTTAGTAATACTTGAGATGCTTGTGCTTCTTCGAATTGCAAAAATTGTCACTGGTGAACCCTTGAAATGGCAGAAATGCTTTTGAGTCTTAGCAACACCGGTTTTGTATGAAGTAGCCCTTTCACATGCTCTCTGCTCTGCCAAATCCCAAACAATTGTCAAGCAAGGATTAAATTGCTTTTCTTTTCTTTTTTGTACTAGGAATTGAACTCAAGACTTTTGGCTTGGTAGGCAGTCACTTGTGTTGCTGACTATATCCCTGGCCCTAAACTTAATTTCTGAAGGGATTTTCTGTAAATACTTATAACTACATGCATTTGCTCTTTAAAATACTATTCCTGAATTACGACAGCCTTGCCTTTGTGGACCCTGGGTCGTGGCAAAGCCAAAAATACATCTCAGGTGGTTGCTTCAGATTAGGAGTCAGGCAGAGTGCAAGGATGATCCCTATTGGAATGCCCACTAGTGCTTTGCAGTGTTTTATCTCTGTGCACACTCTTCCACATCTGACTCTTTAAACCACTTTGCTGCAGAGCTTCTCCCCAGGAGCCAGCTGAGAAGCATTAGTTACTTATGAGCATACCTGCTCTTTAAAAGGGCCCCCTGCAAATCACTGCGGAGGGGGCCTTGGACCTAGCAGACTGAGTTCAAGCTCAAGGGCAGAGCCAGCTTTTGAGTGATGGGCTCTTAAGAGCTGCACATACACGCTTACATCATCTGTCATCTGCTTTTTACATATCTATAGCAGCTGGATGCTGGAAAAGAATCTAAGCATTAGAGATGGACATCCCAGAGTTTTGAACAGACTTTTTGACCTTCTAGCTGCTAGCCAGAATGTTATCAGGAAAGGTATTAAAGCTTTCAAAGGTTATGCAATTAAGACAAATAAGAGAAGGTGGCTAGTGCTTGGCATGCAATAGTTTTAATTATAATTATATGACTAATTATGTAGATACATGTTTAATGTGAGTATGGTAAAAAAACATGCCAACAACTGCATCCCTGGGTGAGCACCAAACTCCTGGAGTCTAGAGGGGGACCTACATGAGTCCTGGTTGATGAGGTCAGGGAGGAAATGATGTTTCATGATATCTTGAAGTTGATCCTGAGTCTGATCAGGTGGGGTCCGGTGGGAAGTGAGGCAATCCAGTTGGTCAGAAGAGTTTCTACAAGTCATGGGCATAGAGTAAGATGACTGAATATTCCCTTGGTCAAAAGCTTTTCTGTTTCCTGCTGAATTAGAACAGAACTGAAAATCACAATCTTAGAGATGGCTTCTCTGTCAGTTCTATCTAACCTACAATTATCATTCCTTCTATATCCCATACTCCTTTTCTATGTCATAGTTTTTTATTCTTTCTGATGTTATTATTCAATATGATTATATTAGGCTTATGAGATGTCTCCTACCATAATTTAGGGTCCATAAAAATTTGTGTGTGTCCATTTTTATTTATTGTAAATCCCAAGAACCTAAAACACTATCTGTATATAAGAAATACTCCATAATATTTGGCAAGAATACATGAGTGAATAATTCATCCAAAAATTGGAGAGATGCATAAAAGCCATATAAACTCAATCATATTTAATATAAATGGCATTTTTAATATACAGAATAACGTGTTGATTTCATATTCTCTCTTTCATTTTGCTGGGCCAGCTGGGGAGTTTAAACAACTGTTTCTGTATATTGATTTTTAAAGTCACTTTTAGAGGTAATGACAGTGGAAAAGTTCACTTAGTAAGGCAACTCTCTTTCCAAGCATCTGCAGGATCACCTTTGTGGAGACTGTCCTTTACCGAGGGCAACAAACAGCACGTTTTCTTCCAAGGCATTTTCAAACTTCTGTTTGTGCTTAGAGCATGAAATTGATTGGAAATTATCTGTCTAAATTTATGGAAGGCAAATTAATAGCCAAGCAGGATCCACTCTTGCTTCCAGTTCTCTGTGGAACAAGGTGGTGCAGAGCCTATTCAAAAACAGGGAAGTCTTCGGTGTTCCATGTCACTAATGTCTTTTGGCACTGGCTTCCTCTGGAAGTTCTAGCAGAGAACAAAGTGGCTCATGGGACTCTTAACCCAAATAGGCTTATTTGTTCTGGTCTCAGAAAAGAGAAGGAGAATCCTCATGGTAATTTTTGATAAATCTTGTAAGCAAGACAAAAAAATATATTGTCCTTGAAGTAAAATGTGTATTCACTCTCTGGTCCACAGCTTGAGGTCATCCTGAAAACTCTCTGTCTTAGTAAAGACGGTGATTAAATAGGTACATTCCAAAATGATTTATTGAGCATTTACTGTCTGCTAAATCTGCTAAGTATTCCATTGCCACTGAAGTCTCAGCACTAAGCAAATTCAGATGTATATCCTGTCATGAATCTAATGAGCTGCTGGTAGATGAATGGTAAAACAGATAATCACATGAACAAATGCCACATTAAAACTGAGACAAGCTCTCTGAAGTGAAAGAATCAGGTTCTGTTGAATTATATACAGAGGAAGCAGACCTCTTCGGAGGGAGAATGGAATCGTCCCTAGGAAAGCAGGCTGTGAGACACATTAACCAGAGGAGCTAGGATTCTAGCTCCTAATGAGACACATTAACCAGAGGAGCTAGGATTCAGGGATAAAAAGAGAAAACATTCCTAATTCAGCATGTGCAAAGTTATTTATAGAGTGGAGAGAAGGTCAGTGTAACTGAATGTCTTCATTCAGGCCGCTGTGACAAGTTAAC